CGTATTTGGATTTGTTTGAAAAATTCAGAGATGGTAGTAGCAGCAGCAGCAGCAGTAGTATACTAAGTAACATATAAATCCGAACACCCAGTTTAAATGGTTTTATTTTAATAAAATTTGGTATAAGTACTTAATGAAGCATAATGAGTAAATGATAAAAATTTCAAAGCTCCCCGTTGTTATCGAGTACAGCAAAACACAAATTCCCTGCAGTTGACGTAACTTCCAAATTCGAAACAACCCCCGGTTGGAAATTTACGAGGCTTCCACGTGGAAAAAATGAAGAATTCGGGGAGCGCCAAGGTTATCTTGACTGGAAGATTTCATAAATGACCGAAACTGAATTACTCGGCCAGAAGCGAAGTGTTCCGAAACACTTCGGAAGTTTTGGAAGTTTGCGGATGGAGGGGAGTTGATACACGTTCGCCGTCCTGTAAATTCGATGGCATGAAAACGAAAGTATGGCTTTTCGATAACGGCTTCTCAATTTTATGGAGTTCAAGGTGTAGCGATTTTCAGGAAATTGCGTTAGGATCCTCCCGAGTCACGAAAGTTGGATATGAAGCTCAAAATATTTTTATACAGGGTGGCCCATCCATGTGTGGACGGAATATAAACAAATACATTTTGGGAAATTCTATTTATGGGATGATTTGAGGGCACATAAAATTTTGGCCATTATACAGGGTGTCCCAATTTTGACTTACATATGAAAATTGTGACTTTTCAAATGAAATGCCTCAGATTTTATTGCATATTTAGATAAACCAATTCAAAAGAAGAAAATTGATATAGCATACTATGGGGTTTTGGTAATTAGCTACTGAGATATAAGGTGTTTTGTCTAGAAAAACCGCCCACTTCGGCAACCCCTCAGTCCGCCATTTTGAAATTTGGAGTACTGAATTTTGCATAAAAAAAACCTTGCACACCTCAGCTTTTATCTTGGTTGTTACTTTTTCGAATTTTCATTTTTGCCCATACAGGGTGGCCCAAAACGCAAATTGTACTTTTTCTCGAAAATTTCAAACGCATCACCCTGTATATTTGTGCTAGTTTGGATGTAATTTTTTATAAGCTTTTTTTTGATACTAGCTACACAAGGGTTTTTACGGCATACGTCTTTTATGGAACGGCTTGCTTCCCTAAACAAATAAATTGTTGATTAATTACAAACTGTCAAAATAAGCTTTGTGAGCATTATGATAAAGACGTGTTTGAAAATTTTTCTAAAGAAGAAATGGAGAATATGGTGTTCGTTTTGGGCGTAGTTTCCTAGTATCTCGCATTTATGAGGAACCGTACTATGCGACATCCAAGGCCGGAAACATTTTCCACACTACGAGAACGTTTTGAATCAAGAGAAGCAGTGGAATATAGTAAAAAATGTATAAATAATCCAAGTGTCATCAATCAGGACAATCAGTTGGAGGTTCTATTAAAGTTGCAGGAAAATCTCCATTCAAGTGCACGGAAAATTGGAGCAGAAACTGATATCCAAAGACTCCGGCTGTGTATTCAACAAGGTGGAGATATTTTCGAGCAGTTTTGTAGATTAGGTCTTGATTAGTGATAGTTGTTTAAGTTGTTGTTACAGTTGTTTTTCTCTATTACGCTTCATACTGTTTTGATTGTTATTAGTTTTTACGTCAAATCTGTACTCTTAGTGGCAATATGGAACTAGCCCACCATTTGTCTTTTGTTTCCATGGTTGCTGTGATTTTTTTCTTTAATTTTAGTGTGTTGTTCTATTAAAAGCTTAATAACTCAAGATCTAGCGATTTTATATGAATCAAACGTCGCACCAAAAAAAAGCTTATAAAAAATTAAATCCAAACTTACACAAATATACACGGTGATGCATTTGAAATTTTCGAGAAAAAGTACAATTTGCGTTTTTGACCACGCTGTATGAGCAAAAATAAAAATTCGAAAAAGTAACAAATAAGATATAAGCTGTGAGGGTGTCAGTTTGTTTTGATACAAAATTCAGCATTCCAGATTTCAAATGGCGGATTGAGGGGTTGTCGTTTTTTTGGACAAAACACCTTACATCTCAGTAGCTAATTAGCAGAACCACATAGTATGCTATATCAATCTTTTTCTTTTTAATTGGTTTATCTAAATATGCAATAAAATTTGAGGCATTCCATTTGAGAAATCACAACTTTGATATGTAGGTCAAAATTGGGACACCCTATATAATTGTTAATACATTAGAAATGTGTCCTCAGAAGTCATGTATAACATGCCATTAATAGATTTTCTCAAAATGTATTTGTTTATGAGTACAGAGAATTAAAAAAGTGTTCGACCCGCATAACTCAAACCTTCAAGGTCGTTTCAGTATCAACTTGGAAAGTTCTAATGGAACCGTTTTTTCACCCCACCGATGGATAGAGCGAAGAATTTCACGTTCAAAGATCATGACCTGAATGTGGTCAAAACGTCAGGTAGACTGACTCTATACTTCCTACGCCGCCTAAAAAAATGAAATTTTCAGAATTTTCAAAGGTACACAACTTCGATTTTTTATATTTTTCTGATAACAATTATGACTAGTCTTATCCAGCTTGATGTTCACATACTGCATGTGTATTTTATTTTATATTATTGATACCTTTTGATATCGAATGTTTTAGAACTTTCTCTAGCTCTTTCCAAAGTAGATTTCAAAATTCGTCTTTGAATCTGTCTCATACACATAACTATAAATTGCCAGCCTATTACTTCCCAGTCAACGTAACATCACGCAATCACCACGCGCTATCGGCACGATATGGGTGTAAACACACCTTAACGATACTATAAAAACGGCAGTCAACAAAGGGAAATAAATTTACACATCGTCGCATAAAGATACACCTTTCCTCGTCCAGCGGCTTTTGCATTTTTCAACCCGCGACGAAGTTGTGCCGTTCGTGATACCGATACTTTTATCAATGGGGGTCGGATCTGGCCGTAAAAAAACGTGCGCGGCCTTAAATTTCGTCTGATTTTGCCGGATTTATGGGTCAAGATAAAAATTTTACGCGGCAGATATTGCATACGTTTTCCGGTTTTTTAATAGAGGCAGTTCTGAACCATGCAGTTTGAACCATCCATTACCGGGGGTCTTCAATACAAAATTCAGTATGAGCATTTCGAAAACGAAGTGGTTTTATGGGGAAAAAAATTGTGCGTTCGGCTGATTGAGAAAATAGCACTTGGCACAATATTTTGGATGTAATAAATTTTGTCGGAAAAAAGAACGGAATTCACCGAAAATCGTTTTTAAGTATACGAGGGATGTCTTTCAAGTTTTGCATATGGAAATAAAACCTTGGAACACCCATATAGCCGACTGTCGTATATTTTCTGGTTCATAACAATAAATCCACGATTCGTCACCACTAACAACGCTGTACACATTTTGTGAGTTTCCGGAATTAAAACGGTCAAGCGTTTTTTTGACACCAATTAAAACTGGCTGCTTTCTGCTTTTCAGTCATCCAACGAGAAGCTAATTTTCTTACTCCTCATTCTTCATTTAAAAATTTTTGAATCGAGGTCTTTTAGATCTTCAAGGAAGCCTCAATCTCGCGATATGTCACATGTCTATCTTCAACGATGAGTTTGCGCCCAAAAAAAACCAGACAGTAACTCAGCAAGGTATTCTTGTTGCGACAATTGTCTCTGAAAGTTGTAATAAATTATGGTGCGAAAATGTTCTCGGTTGAGTTCCATTTTTCTTATGACTTGGTGACACTCAAAAATTCACTGTTGTGAGAACACTGCACGTATTGTTGTGAAACTTTGAATTTAAGTTTACTAAAGAGTGAGGTTAAGATTCAGTACTGACGTTCGATCCGCGTGGACTACTAACTCAAGAGACATCCCTCGTATTGCGCATTAGAAACAGCATGTTGAGATAATATGTCCGATAGTTTATAATGAAGTAATTAAGTTCTCGATATTATGTGTGCATCGTTTTAGATATGATGGAAGTAGAATGTGCTTAGCAGCCTGCAACATCGTCTAGGCTTTTACTTGCTCCAAGATAGTGGTCACCAACCCTAAAATCGCGAGCTAAGTCTGGTGACTCGCAACATACTTTGAAAGGGTGTAAAAATCATAGAAGCTTCCGGAAATTTTGTAAATTCAGCGGCAATACTGCGATGAGCGATCTGTTCGAGAACGATCTCGATTACCTTTAAACGGATTAAATACGCAAATTATCAAAGTAGCTCAACACACTGAATAGGTTTCAATATAATTGCCCCAATAATAAAAAGCGCCATCTATCACCAGAATCGATAAGTTTTTTAGTCATTCGAAGCTTGATTCCATTCCAGTAGTGTGGGCAGAATTCTACACACCCGGTTTACGTTACATTTTCCTCAGAGAAGTTATGACGTATATTACAAGACAATGGCGGGCATTTGCTCTATATACTGAATAATTCACAACTGTGAGATGTGGAAAACTTGTATCATTTTTATTCAAATGAAGGAAAATGTGGGTTAACCATGCAGGACGTTGTAAATACTCGGGAAATATGAGGCGGCGAGCTGAAAATAAAAACCTGGGAAATTGCTAGATTTTCTAGCAGAGCGACGAGCGTTTAGCTGAAATGAAAATGTAAAGAGGCCAAATTGCACCGAATAAACGTTGATTTAGAGATCAGACAGCGACATTTTTGTAAAACGCCTTCGCGTTACATAGCATTTATTACTAGAAATCACGGACGTACGCATATGACAAAGATGGACAAACTTTTGACAAAGAATGACTACAACAACCTCTGATTCAGGTTTATGCATAATATTATTAAAAAAGGAGTCATTTTATTTAAAAAACAAAAACGATTTTTACCTTTTCGCCTCAAACAAAGAACCTAGCTATTACAATATCACCTGAAAATTCGCCCATAATTTCACCAGGGTCCTATACCGTTAAGGCAGAGGTGGAACATCTGTCCTATCTGTTAAATACACCCCTAAACAAATTATTTTACCAACCTGAATTTGTTGTTCTGCAATTTCAAATCACACCTAACAACCTTCTGCTCACCCTGTCCGCGCTGCACTGTCCCACCGAGCTGTCCACCATTTTGCATCTGATCTACCTTCCTAACACTCTGCACCGTCTGAATCGCGGCTAACCTAGGAGGCAGTTCCTTCCTGCGGATGGCTTTGCTCCTGCGGAACGTATAGAAACCTTCGGTCTGCAAATCCTCAGAAGGATTCGCTTGACGATCTTCAGATTGCTGGGAGGCGCGGATTGTCTCTATCCCACGGGATATGAACACGATATCTTCATACATTTTCGATTTTTTTTGCAAACGAAATGTCCTCTGAGATCAAGGTGGTACCCTCGTAGAACATCACTGTCACTTCACTGTAGTTCAATCACAAACTCCACCGATAACGATGCTCTAGTTTTAAGTCCTCTTTAGCACCTTTCAAGGCAGTACCAAATTTCAATCACGTAGTACATATGAAACGATAGTTGCACCGTTGCCCTGCACTCCATTTTTTCACATATTTAGCAGTTCTCTACTACTACTCAAGTTACGTACAGCTGATCACCACTTTAACCGAAGAAAGGCGAAAAGGTGGTACCGAATATGACTTCCTCTAATAATATAAAGAACTACTATTTTTGCTTAGCTTTCCATACGTTCTTAGCAGTTTCAATCTCCTCTATCCTCTAGAGGCAGTACCGAGTTCATATTACGCGATTTGTATCAAATACGAGGTAGTACCGATACCAAACTGCCGATTTGTCTGAATTTTTATACTATTTTTGGCAGTTAATGGTCTAATATCCGTATGAGGCAGTACTGATTTTGAATCGCGCGGTACCGCGTTCGAATACAGGTGGTACCGTTTAGTGACTAGATTGCGTTGAAAATGCGCGGATAGGTGAGGCCATTGTTGCGTGTGGATAGGGAAGAGGCGGTGAAGAGTTCTGCAATCCAGACAATTTACAGTGGCGGCGTTAAATAATATTTTATTAAAGGAAAGTACTTATAACCAGAACCCCATTTTATTATCGATAAAAAAAATTGAAGACAGCTTTTGTAGTGGTTCACATAATTTACTCTACATGTTACAATTGTAGTTGAAATGGAAAGAGCAGCAGTGCGTAGATACTTAAGGTACTACTATTTGTCAATGACGAAGTTTCAGATAATGCAGCGCCAATGAATCATCTTGAAATACATCAGAATCAATGATAAAAAAAACAACTCATTACATCATTATTATGAAGCTATGTGGTACGCCCTATAGGACTATTATGGTACCTTCCACGTCATATGATGCTGTCACAATGAGAATCCATAACATCTGATGGGAGTTATTGGTTGGTATCAATATAAAAGATTATCCATCTGTCGAATTTCTAGTCTGCTATGTGGTACTTATTCGTTAAAGTACCGGCCTTAGTACTGTCTTGACTATCTACTATCGGTACACGTTTTCGGTGCTATCCGATATAATATACGTACTACCTTATGGCTTCTCTCGTGAGTTTATGATATTCATTGAAGAAATAAGAATGCTGCTGTAATCTTGTACTATTTTACCTCTTGCACCTATGTGGTACGTTCTTTGAGTTTTGTATCGGTACTGCTCCCACCTTCCACTTTTTATGATGCTGCACCATGAAAATTCCTAAAATTTACTAGGAGTTAAAGCTTACAATTAATATAAAAGCTTATCCATCCGTCTAATTGCTGGCCTATAATTTTTTTTACGATCCGCCATAGTACTGCCCTCAGTACTGCTACTGCTCACTTCCATTACACCTTTTGGTACTGCCCGATTCGATAGGTACTACCCTCTTGATTGTATACTTATTCTTCATCTGTGGTACCTGTCTAGTATATCCTTTAAGTTTCATAACGGTACTGCCCGCACCTTCCACTTTCTAAGATGAGAACCCACAGAATTCGATTGTTATTAATATAAAAGCTTATTCATCTTTGGCATTGCTTTCTGATACTATCCCTCACGGTACTGCCCTTAGCACTGATCGTACCACTATGTGTGGTACTATCCGATGCGATATACGTACCACCCTCTTGGGCTTATGATATTTATCGAAGAGGTATGAAATATATCGCAGCCTTGAACTATTCCACCTGTTGTACCTATGTGATACGCCCTTTAGCGCCGTCACGGTACTGCCCGTACCTTCTATTTCCGGTGAGTCATCGCGGCGGCGCTTCGCGAGCCGCCGTACCGCATTCGTTTCCTAAACAATGAAAATGAAAATAGAGCACCGTCGATAATGGCGGTACAAGTCGTACCTGCGAGCGCTGAGCAGTGACCTGCTGGAGACACGAATAGCGGGAAACATGCTCACGTATTCTTACTACGATCGTGTGCGTTAAATAGGTTGCTTAGAACGCGTGACTTAGAGTTTAGATGTAATTAGCGGATTTTTATGTACTTTCAAATGCAAATAAGGCTTGTGGCATCGAATGAAGTAGTTAATCAAGATTTGATTTTGGCTTTGAAATGATTTGGAGCAACTTGTTCAACCTGGTTTCTATTTGGGTCAACCAAATACAGTTTTATCTTTCACGATAAATATAAGGATACGTCCAATGTCAGCAAGCAGATGCATTGCATTCTGAAATTGCAGCATAAATTTCACGATAACATAACTTTTGCTGTTCATTTCCGACCGGTATAATGAGAAGCAGGAGCATATGGTAGATAAGTTCAAAAAGTTCATTTATATATCAAACAGATAATATAAACAAGCTCTCCTCTCCCACACCAATAAAACCAGGAATTACTTCCAGCATTTCAGTAACCGCAATAAAACTTCGGTTTTCTGTATTGGATGAAGGGTAATACTGCAACTGGCTGTGACGCTGCACGCGATACGTTATGTGCTGCTTCATAAGTTTGAAAGTTTTGAAACGTTTGAAAATTAAAAAAAAGGAAATTTGAAAATTGACAGATGACAGGTAACAGATGACGAATGACATATAACAGATGTCATATAACAGATGGCAGATGACAGATGACATATAACAGATGACAGATGACATAACAGATACAGATAACAGATGAGAGATAACAGATGACAGATAACAGATAAAAGATTAAAAACAAACAATAGTTGTAAGATCAAAGATGATAAGGATAAAAAATGATTAAAGCTAGGGATGCCGTTTGGAGCATTGCATTAGCGTGTCAGCAACAGTATATAGCATAGCGTTAGCATGGAAGTAAACGGATTTTTCACTTCTATCTCACGTATCGTATCGATCATGCTTTACAAGCAATACATCATGAAGACAACTTTGCAAGCACTCGCCATTGAAAGAACCAGCTTAGATTCCAATAAATCACACTTTTAATTAAACCTTTTCTCTCCCATATGTGCCTCCTTCCGTTCCCGTTTGGAGATCATCCTACCTCCCCGGCCTCCTAGATTAGATTCCAATTTTCAGTCGTACCAACCGCCAAGGAAATAAGATCGATCCCCCAGAGAGTCGACTCTGGAGTAGAGATGATGAAACTTGAGGTATTTTTTGAAATTTATTTACTTATTCGTATAGACAGATAACATGCTGTAAGGTTTTGGTGATCAGTTGTTTAGTTATAAGCGACTCATTGTACCGGACGGAAATTATTTTCAGCTTTCTAAAATGACCGCTAGGGGGCGTATTTTCGATTAACAAAATCCAAATTTAATATCCCTATTTTGTTGATTGCTCGTTTTTCTCAGTGTCATTTTTTCATATTTTGTTCCGTTTGGGATGGGGAAAGGGTCAAACGTCATTTCAGAAAAAGTAATATAACTTCTATTTTTCTGCTCCGATTTTCATGATGTCGGTTTCTTTCGAAATAGTTTGCTCCTAGTTAAGGGTCTATCTGGTAAGGTTTGTATAGTGAAACTAGTTTCTGGAACCGTAGTTCCCATCTCTAGTCTCAAAAATGTCGCAAAAAGAGCATTCCGTGCCGTTGAAATTGAAACGCTGTTTATTATGACTTTACGTCAGGAGCGGCTGTGATATTGTCGCGAGGAGGTTCACCTAGAGACCCTCTGGCTGTGTTTCGTATAAACAACATGTTATGCTTCTCGTGCAAAATTCCGACGACGAAAGTTTTATTAAAGTGTTTGTTGTCTTTGCAAATGGTTTGGTTTGGCGTCACTTGCCTGGCTTATATTTGGGCTGTATATATTAAAGTGAAGTGCTTAAATATATACAGTATGTTGTTAACATTATAACGCAGGCTACCCTTAAATGATATAAGTAAGTTGGCACACTACTTTTTTAGACAGAAGTCTCGTAATACAATTCACGTCGTGACACGTATATCATCATTCTAATGGAATTCTTATTCTCAGTCTGAAAATGGGTAGTTTTAGTACATACTTTTGACCCATTTGTCTACCAATGCCTACCAAAGTTACAGCGTTGTATCAGTATAATAATACTTACCGGTCGAAGTATTTACCTTCATTAGGCTTGTGCAGCTCTTCGCAATTATGCATGCCTTTCTACCGTCTAACACCAAAATTATCTGCAAATACTCTCAGAAATAACACTAAATGTACTAATTTAATAACACAGCTGTCAACAAATGACTTATTTCAAGCGCTCTTTGATCCACCCTACAAACTATGAGCATTATGAGACAAATAAATCCGAGAGTGAGAGCTGATGAATTCAAGTTTATGATTCAAGATTCAAGATTCAAGTTTCAAGATTTGGGATTCGAGATTCGGAATTCGAGGTTCGAGTTTTGAGATTCGAGATTCAGGATTCGAGATTCGAGATTCAAGATTCCACATTCGAGATTCAAGATTCGAGATTCGAGATTCGAGATCCGAGTTTCGAGATTCGAGATTCCACATTCGAGATTAGTGATTCGTGATTCAAGATACAAGACTCAAGACTCAAGACTCAAGATTCAAGAATCAAGAATCAAGAATCGAGAATCGAGAATCGAGAATAGAGAATCGAGAATCGAGAACGAGATTCAAGAATCGATAATCGAGATTCAAGAATCAAGATTCGAGACTCAGGATTCAAGACTCAGGAATCAAGATTCAAGATTCAAGATTCCAGATTAAAGATTCCAGAATCGTTATTCGAGAGTCCACATTCTAGATTCGTGATTCCACATTCTAGATTCGTGATTCCACATTCTAGATTCGTGATTCGACATTCTAGATTCGTGATTTATGATTCGAGATTCGAGATTCAAGATTCAAGGTTCCACATTCGAGATTCGATATTCGAGATTTGAGATTCTCTGATGTCTATGTACTCCGTGTTTGTCATTACACGTAATACTTTTCTTTGAAAACAAAAAAACACGCGTTAAAAAAATGGAGAGATTAGTGATTCGAGATTCGTGATTCGTGATTAGTGATTCGAGATTCAAGATACAAGACTCAAGATTCAGGATTCAAGATTCAAAATTCAAGATTCAAGAATCGAGATTCAAGAATCGAGAATCGAGAATCGAGATTCAAGAATCGATATTCAAGAATCTAGATTCGAGACTCAAGATTCAAGATTCAAGATTCAAGATTCTAGATTCTAGATTCCACATTCGAGATTCGAGATTCGAAATTCAAGATTCCACATTTGAGATTCGAGATTCGAAATTCAAGATTCCACATTCGAGATTAGTGATTCGAGATTCGTGATTCGTGATTCGAGATTCAAGATACAAGACTCAAGATTCAGGATTCAAGATTCAAAATTCAAGATTCAAGATTCAAGATTCCAGATTAGAGATTCCAGATTCCAGAATGGAGATTCGAGATTCCACATTCTAGATTCGTGTTTCCACATTCTAGATTCGTGATTCCACATTCTAGATTCGTGATTCCACATTCTCAATTCGTGATGCCACATTCTAGATTCGTGATTTATGATTTGAGATTCGAGATTCGAGATTCGAGATTCAAGATTCAAGGTTCTATATTCGAGATTTGAGATTCTCTGATGTCTATGTACTCCGTGTTTGTCATTATACGTAATACTTTTCTTTGAAAACCAAAAACACGCGTTAAAAAAATGGAGAGATTAGTGATTCGAGATTCAAGATACAAGACTCAAGATTCAGGATTCAAGATTCAAAATTCAAGATTCAAGAATCGAGAATCTAGAATCGAGAATCGAGATTTAAGAATCGAGATTCAAGAATCAAGATTCGAGATTCAAGATTCAAGATTCAAGATTCAGGATTCAAGATTCAAGATTCAAGATTCAACATTCAAGATTCCAGATTAGAGATTCCAGATTCCAGAATGGAGATTCGAGATTCCACATTCTAGATTCGTGTTTCCACATTCTAGATTCGTGATTCCACATTCTAGATTCGTGATTCCACATTCTCAATTCGTGATGCCACATTCTAGATTCGTGATTTATGATTTGAGATTCGAGATTCGAGATTCGAGATTCAAGATTCAAGGTTCTATATTCGAGATTCGATATTCGAGATTTGAGATTCTCTGATGTCTATGTACTCCGTGTTTGTCATTATACGTAATACTTTTCTTTGAAAACCAAAAACACGCGTTAAAAAAATGGAGAGATTAGTGATTCGAGATTCAAGATACAAGACTCAAGATTCAGGATTCAAGATTCAAAATTCAAGATTCAAGAATCGAGAATCTAGAATCGAGAATCGAGATTTAAGAATCAAGATTCAAGAATCAAGATTCGAGATTCAAGATTCAAGATTCAAGATTCAAGATTCAAGATTCAGGATTCAAGATTCAAGATTCAAGATTCCAGATTAGAGATTCCAGATTCCAGAATGGAGATTCGAGATTCCACATTCTAGATTCGTGTTTCCACATTCTAGATTCGTGATTCCACATTCTAGATTCGTGATTCCACATTCTCGATTCGTGATGCCACATTCTAGATTCGTGATTCATGATTCGAGATTCGAGATTCGAGATTCGAGATTCGAGATTCAAGGTTCCACATTCGAGATTCGATATTCGAGATTTGAAATTCTCTGATGTCTATCTACTCCGTGTTTGTCATTATACGTAATACTTTTCTTTGAAAACCAAAAACACGGTTTAAAAAAATGAAGCGGCTTCAGCATATCAGACCATAGGTCATCACCGAGTTAAATAGGGAATAATAGGTGATCAGTAGAGTATCAGACACTTACTAGAGGACGAATAATAAAGATGGTTTATAATGCAGATTATAGCTACAAGCCTAGAAGTTTTTCCTGGGTTGACACTTTATTTACCGCAAGATGTCTTTGGGAGAAGAAAGGTATATTGTCTACGCTGTATTCTGATCTACCCCCGGAAGGAATTGATGTCCTTGAAAATACGGAATCGTCAGTTCAGTTGTGCATGACCCTTAGAATATCGGAGAGGCCTAAAGCAAAACGTCCTGCGAGCATATCGCATTCGAACGTTTGGATCCTTCCTCATTTTTCGAAGGAAAAAGCAGAGATAAGCCTCGCGATATCCAGAATATTAACCACATTATCGCCCACGACTCCCTGTAACCTGTAGACCAGGCATGCTCGCCGCACGCACCTCGCGAGAGACAAGAACAGACGGGCCTCCGCGCCGTGCGCTAGACAAGGACAACTGCGGAGTGGCGTCTCGTCAACTCCCGATTCTCCAGTTGCTCGTCGACTTTACCGGGACGCGCTGCTTTGACTACGCGAAGCGGGAGTTTTTCCTTACGGGGCAGCTCCGGAAAAGCTCCGATCGACGGGACGCGGAGAGTGTGAGACTCTTTCGTTGCGGGAAACTTGTGACGTTTTTTCGGTGAACAGTGAAGGAAGTTTTGCGAGTCGCGCGGAGTTTTCGGAAGGTGAGTTGTTGTTTTTAAGCAGATGATTCGGAAGTCAAGGTCAGTGGTGGACGCTTTGCGAGCCTCCTTTAACTTTCCAGTCAATAGGAAACATCAGTGCAAGAACATTCAGATTCCGAGATAGTGTAAAGTAAAAACATTAACGGTCCCAGTACTGAGCCATGTGGTGTACCTGACTGAGAGTATTTTGATGTTGAATTTGGTTATTGATATTTAATTTTTGCCTCCGTTCCCTTAAATATGACCTAATAAAGTTGCCTGCTCCTTCAACGAAGCCATAGTGGTGTCACTTGGCGATAAGTAGTCGATGGTTAATTAATGGTATGCTTCTACGCTACTGATTGAGGATAATTCACGTATTTTAACCAATGAGTGTTAATGTAATGAGGTGCTATAGTTTCCTTCACATGTCATACAGTGTGTTCAATATCAAGCCTCGCTCTATTTCCGGAATAGCATTAGAGTATTTTGCGATTTTACCTCAAATATTCAATCCTGAATATCTCCCAAACGAGTGATCTGACAAAAAACCGTTAAGTAACTAAATTTATGGAAAATTAAATGGTATTTCATGAAATGCCGGAAAGACCAGTGGCGTAGAAAATATATCCTACTAGGGCACCAGGTGCCCCAGTTTCTACGTTTCTGGTTTAGTTTTTGGAAACACCGTGTGTTTATTGCTGCTGATATGCTCACTAAAATTCGTATCTCGGTAGGAGGGGCAAGCTTAAACATATTTTTAGTAACTTTTTTTATTATTTTTAGTCTAGAAATATTGGCACATCACCCTGTTTTAACACAGTGCTACCATTAATAATCCCTTTCGGGTCCATCTATGCCCATTGCGACTTTCAATAACTCAATCGAGCTGGACAGGCATTGTAAATTCTGCATCGGACTTGTTGATTACGTAGTCGCGTGTGAAGGACCGCGGCGGCATGCACATGGAAATTTCTGTAGAATAAACAACCGCATAATTGATACTGCGACGTTTTGACGTCTCAGCAAATAATTGGTAGTTGGAAAACACTCGATCGGCTCGCTCAAACATGCAAGCGGTGATTAATTTTTTTTTTCATTTTTTACACATGTTCAAACGTGTTTGCGATGCCGATTTTTGAACGGCGAAACATACAGCGCTTTTCAAAAAGTTCGCCCTGTAACTTATTTTTTTAACAGGCCGATTGATATCAAATTTATGAATGAATACTATACTAAGTGACATATAAATCCGAACACCCAGTTTAAATGATTTTATTTTAATAAAAGTTGGTGAATGTATTTATCTTACTGTAAATAACAAGTGAAAAAATTTTCAGCCTTATCAGTTGGACATTCCGGTTTTTATACTGATTTTTTTTAATTCACTAACGCGCTAAAAATGAATATCTCAGCCGCAGTAAAGAATCAACGTTGGCGGATTTTGGTTCTTGACATCCTTTACGATCGGTTACGATGCCTAGAGTATGGAGACCTGTACGATTTCGTCAACTTAGTGAGTTTGATAGGGGCCGTATAGTGGGACTTCGGGAAGCTGGACTTTCTTTTCGGGCAATTGCAGTTAGAGTGCAAAGAAGTGTAGACACTGTGGTTAGGTGTTGTCAGGCATGGCTTCGAGAAGGCCGTACGCAAAGAGCAAGGGGCACTGGACGCCGCCGTAGAACAACAGACCGTGAAAATCGCCGCCTAAGATTATTGGCCTTAAGGGACCGTTTCTCCACTACCAGGTCCATTGCAAATGAATGGTTTGCAGAACACGGAAGACCTATTGGCATGCGAAGTGTTTACCGACGAATGAGAAGTTTTGGCTTGTTTTCATACCGACCACACTGGGTCCTCCCTTTAACTCGAGAACACCGACGTAATCGCCTTGAGTGGTGCAGACAACGGTCACTCTGGGATCAGGAATGGAACAGTATTGTCTTTAGTGACGAGTCTCGATTTTGTTTAGGCATGCACGATGGTCGTGCCAGGGTTAGAAGGCGACGTGGTGAAAGGAGGAAACCACAGTTTTTTGCTGAAAGACATGTTCATCACACTGTTGGAGTTATGGTTTGGGTAAGAGTCACACTAGACTTCTTTCAACATAATGATGTCACATTGTTACCATGGCCACCAAGATCTCCCGACTTATCCCCAATTGAGCACGTGTGGGATACGATGGGTAGGAGATTGCTCAATTTGCAACGTCCTCCTTAGACTCTAGAAGCATTTCGAGAGGAGTTGGTGGTTGCCTGGAATGAGATACCACAGGAGGACATTGACCACCTGATCAGAAGCATGCCTAGGCGCGTTGGAGAATGCGTAGCACATCAGGGTGCATCCACACATTATTAAAGGTCAAGGGGCTTTAAAGCGGTGCAATCATTTTGAAATTTTTATCATTTACTTATTATGCTTCATTAAGGACTTGTACAAAATTTTATTAAAATAAAACCATTTAAACTGGGTGTTCGGATTTATATGTCACTTAGTATATATTCCATACGTACATTTGATACAACTGATTGTATGTTTTTGCAGGTATTCAACGTTTCAATTTAGAGCTGATTAAAATTTGGGGAACGTGTTGTTGCAAGAAAATGTAATAAAATATGTTTTGTTGAAACTGACAATATCCTTTCCTGGAAAAAATGCATAACCTTTTAAAAATCTAATACAATTTTGTTTTCAAAAGAAGTCAACCTTTGAGTAAATAATTGCCGTATCGCCTGAGAAATCAATAATTTCTCCATCGTTTCTTAACTTAAAATGTCATTAATATACAAATTAAACAGCATTGGTCCCGACATGGTTCCTTGTGGAACTCCGCATCTAACTGCCATATTTTCACTTAGTTTCCTATTATGTCTCAGGGCCGTATCGTCATCCTACAATTGTAGGAAGCCTTTATAGTCTCCTACATTTTCATAGTTTTCTACTGCTCCGTGTCAGCGCTCTATTTTGAGGTTATGTTACAAATATCTACTTACATCAAATCGGTTTATATCAGCATGAAATCCCCTACGATTCAAAAAGAAAACATAGCCTCACAATAGGAGAACGCTGACGCTGACAGGCAACAGTGGAAATCTAGAAATACCGCAGCTTTTCTGAAAAGGAAAAAAAACTATGAGAATCAAGGAGGCCGTAAAGGCGTTCTACAATTGTACTGGAATGACTGACATACTTTTTCGTGATGTAAATGTCACATAAAATCCAAAAAACATAATATTCTACCTTCGAATATTTATTATCAATAAGCACTTGACACTGACACGGAAACTCATAACTCGGAGGTAACTGAGACTTGTTCGACTTTTGTTTTATATAACGCGTCATCTTCAACTATGAACGCAGTGCGATAATTGTACGTCCTATATATTTTATTTTGCCGCATTTCATCAGCTTAATAAAATTTAATTAACATATTGGTACCGTGCCAAAAACCCTTCAACCCAACCGGGGAATGTGTCGAGCTTTCAACAAGTAGCTATTGATTTTATATTAGCAGCCTGTAATTTTTTCTGTCGCAACGTGTCAACACAAGTGTTGCTATTATGCGGCGGTGCATTTTGCAATTCATTTTGCATTAATTCTCAAGTTGTAGGGTTTCTAACGTTGTAATGATGGAGCTTTGAATGTTCAGGTCTGATATTGCATTTATTGTACGATTAACGACGAATAGGTATATCAAAAAAAATTATACAGTGCCTTTCAGAAAGGTCCCAGGTACTTCTTTTTTGAATGGATAAAATTTGCAAGCCGAGATTTGGAACAATAACAATGCTTGGTGTGTCGGTGTCCAGGTTGCCTGTTTTACTCGATCTAAATAAATTTCACCAAACATGATTGTTGTGAAAATTGTGCACTCCATTTCCTGTAAATGTGGCTTCGCCTGTACACAAAATGAATTTTGTAAAATCTTCATTTCTGTTGAACTGTTATAAAAACCACTGGCAACATGCAGCTCTTCTAGTATGATCTTCAGATTGTAATGCTTGTACCCGTTGATAATGTTAATAAAACTCCAACTTGAGCTGCTATGGCTCTAGTACTCATTGTTGGACCGTGATCGAGCATTTCTAAAATGTCTTTCTCAATTTGTAACATTTCAGATTGAGTAGGGGTCCAGCCTTACCTCCACAGCGCGAGGGGTGAGAGGAACCTTCTTAAAAAGCATACGTAACTGGTGATAAATTAAAAAGACTACTTATATCAGTACTTGAAATATATATTAGTATAAGTAAAATAAACACAGGTATGTGTATAATTTCATTTAAGCTGGCTTACATTGCTTACGGCTAGGCAGCTCACCGCTTATTCCAAAATTATCAAAGTAGCTCGACACATCGAAAAAGTTGACGACCGCTGCGTTAGTGTAACGAAAAATGATGGCAGGTTCGCGCGCAATACCCGGATCGGTAGGTGTTATAATAAGACATACATCATCCAGAAGGATGCACGCACCGTATTTCAACACCGCGAAAAAAAATCTAGTTAATCTTTGTTAGGGGAAAGGTGGATCGGGAGGTGGGACAGGGCCGTACCTTTCCGCCTTATCGGTTCATCGCATCGGAAACAAAAAAGCGAAAGAATTTGGAACGATGTTTTTACAATTATTTTATTCAGTTGTATACAGTCAGTGTCAGTCGGTAACGCGTGAGTGAATAGTGGTGTCTGTTGCGCGGCTCAAACGAAATAAAAAATGGCACATGTTTATGCGGATCGGTTTCCCAATCGAGTGCAACCAACCCCTCGTGCCTTTGTTAATGTATTACAAAGGGCTCGTGAATCGGGTGACTTTTTTTTATTTTTACACACATATTTTGGTTTATCTTCCTTTTACAATCATTATCTGAAAATTAATGACTCAACTTCAAAGTCACCCTGTAGGTGAAATAATTATATACAGGGCTTTTATTACGTAAATACGCAAACCAAATGCCGCTTAAAAAGTT